TTATTTTATTTTTTTACATGTACGCATCCAAAGTGTCTTCATCAAACAATATCTGAAAAAATGCATTATACCTTTAGCTGGAAAACATTAGTTTATAATAAAAACTGTTTGCTAAATATAATAGATATAAACAGGATCCCTGCTGAGGATCAGACATTCAGTGAGATTTAATGCAATGGATATATTTTTTAAAATCTTGTGCTACATTTTTTTACTCTTATTTATTTATTTTAGGGTGATTTAAATAGTGCAGTGCACTTTTTTGTAATTATCTTTTAATTATCGGTTGATAATTAGCACAGCTGCTTAGATTAGGATTCCTAGCACTGAATTAAAATTAAATACAGGCTGATTACAGGTTCACAGTTTAAAGGCAAACAGGGAAACTATAACATCGGTACTTAATGTGGTTTCCCCTAATATAAGCAAATGTATGCAACTAAAACCTCTGAGTAGTTGGAACCAATTAGTTAGACTTTTTTGATGGCAAGCTTGAAAGTGCTGGGGACCCCCTTTGTAAACTAGTCACCCTGTTACTGGATAGACAGCTATCACTTGTTCCTAAGGCATCTTTTCCTCAATTTGCTTTTATTTTTTGCTGTCTGTAGTCCTTTTTGGAGGTTTATTTTCACTCCCTGCCCTGGTGGAACCAAAAGTGAGAAACATTTTCTCTAAAATGAGGGGAATTCCTTTCTAAGTCAGTTGTCACAGAAACCCGGGCTCCAATTGGAAGACTTCCCTGCACCTCTTGCTCTTGTAACAACTCTAAAAATGTAGCTTTTCCATCATTTTCTGTCTTGGTGATGATGGTCACAGTCCAGGTATAGAGGGTTAATTATCCCCAGTGGGTACAGAGAAGCAATATAAACTTGCCAAAATGTCTAAAGCAGGTCATACACTTATATCTGTAAAAAATAAATCAAGGCAACTGGACTTGCTGTATTTTTTTTTCCCTTGAAGATGTTTCACTGGTCATCTAACCAGCTTTCTCAATTCAGAATGACTTGTGCAAATAATTATCTGGGAATAAATATGGTGCATACAATTATGTTTTAATTAATTATGTTAATAATTCTTCAAAAAAAAGGTCTACCATTTAGTAAAGACCTTTCAGCTTCAGTCCAGTGACTTTGCCTAGGCTGAGATGAGGTCATCAGTATACTGTATCTCTTCCCCCAGAGATCACTATGCAACAATGTAACTCTGCAGCAAGTCACAAGGTGAGAGGAGACAGCAGCGGCTCATCTGTGCCAATTTTAAATGCAGAAGCATCAGGATTTAACCAGCATCTCAGTCTAGAAAATAGCTGCTCACCCTTCTTAAACAAAAAATGGCTTCATCCTTGTGGAAAAGAAAAGCAGATAAAAGGTATTGCCAGTAGAGTACTGTGATCTCTGTGAGAGGTAATTCATGCTTGGAAGTGTTATGCTAACACATTACATAGCATCCTTGCCATTAAAGGAAAGGTAAACAGGTAATGTTGACATGTGTCCTATTGATTTGTGTGAAGTATGATTTCTAATAATTGGTCCACTTTAACCCCTTGAAGGTCCACTTTAATTAGGTTGATCACATTCCTGGTAGGTACAGATGACCTTACTTAGAGTGAGCACTTACAAATATATACATATATATATATACATACATATCTTTATATAATGTATATATGAAACATACTACTGTATAGAACAGCAAGCAAACAAAAACAAGACAAAAATTACTGTTAGGTAAATGTTACTATAATAACTCAAATATCCTTCATGAAAATACATTATAGTCTCACTTATATAGTAAGAAGCTATACTATGAAAATAACACATGCACACCAACGTGCATAGAGCTGCAGGAAAGCTGGCCATATCCTGGTTGAATTACTGCATTTGACTAGTGAGTGGTATCGTTGGGACCCTCCTCCATTCAACAAAAGCCATTTTTCAATCGACTTCTGTCAAGAGGGCCAGCCCGAAAAATCCCGGTTGAAGAGTGACTGCATATATCTTGTGACTACAAGTATTCTGACAGCAGCATACCCACCACTGTCAGAATACAATAGACTGGCACGTGGAATTCCCCCATCCACACTATTTAGAGTGGATGGGGATACCAAGAATTTTCTTCTCATTTAGCCCCGTGGGGCTGAACAAGAAAAAAGTCACTGTGTATGGCTATCTTTAATCTGGATAGGTATGTCATGAATGCACAAAAGCCCTTTTGGACAAGTCCACGAAAGGAAGGTCAAATGGTGTCATTCAAGACATAAACCAATTAAACATCTTTTCAAACACGCTCTAGTGTTCCAGTCTTTCTAGTCTTTTATTACTAAATAGTTATAAGAAAAACAGGTGTATATATGATGAAAAAGAATCAGCATGTTTATGATCACTGCCAGGACGAACAATTTTAGTAAATTTAAGAGGTATCAAACATTAACCACACATACTTACCCTTAAATTACAGATTGTGCATAGAGATGAAAAATAGAGCACACGGTTTAGCCCTGCTATAGGTAAGCATTCACAATGACTGTAGCTGGACTCACAATCAAGATACATTAGTAAAATGAACCATACATCATATCAAAATTACCATGAATTAACCTGATGCTACAAAAAGGATTATTTGTTCTGCTCTGTATTCATTAATAAAATAGGCATTCGTTATCATTCGTTTTTTTGTTTCTACACTATTTAATGTCCTTCATCCATCTATCTATCTGTCTATCTATCTATATCTATATTCCAAAAAATCATGCTTATGTATGGATATATAGGTAATAGATAATCATTTTAGTCTGCATGCTAATTACATTTCATAAAATCAGATGGAGAACAATTGAGGCTTCTCTGCAAATTTGCTGACACTTAAGCTATAACCAGAGGTCACTAAAGACATAATGGAGCTCTAGAATAATAAGAATGACATTTTATAGGTATTTTGTTTGACAATGTAACCTACCATAATATAGCCAAACCATATTTTCTTTTGGTGTAGAACAAGGACCCAATGCATCACTACATTTACTACAAGCCTTTACAGAATGCACTTGCTGCATACATTTTATAATAAAAATATTGCATTTAATATGGTGGCATGTAACAAGAAAAATCATCACCATGTGTTCATAAATAAATGTTACTATACCTATTTAATGAATGTTATCATGAGAGAAATCTATTGTCTATCAACCAATGTGATTTAGGAAAATCTGCTATTAATATTAGTGTAACCAGGTTAGCACTCATGCACCATCTATATAGAAAACATCTATCATTCTAACCATGTTACTTTCTTATTTCTTGTAAAAAACATATGAATTGTATTATTGGTAAACAATGGTATGATGCTATATGACTCACTGATGTATGCTGAATATATCTGGTGGTACAATGACCTAAGGGTGAGAAAGCTAGCTCTATACAGTATTCCTTAGGGCTCTATAACCTTCACAAACAGATGCTATCTGAAAATAACTCATATATAAAGCTAGACGGTGAATTAAATTCTGGGGTCAGCAAATGGTCATTGGCTAATTACAGTCAGCTCAATCTCCTGAAGCTGCAAGTGATTATTTGAGAACAATGCTGGGACCAATATGTCAATGGCACCCAAGATGACTGCATTGTCTTACAAACAAGTGGACCAGCACCTTTTTTCATGATGATGGCTCACTATTTTGACGCTTGTACTGAAAGTCACACATCCTAAAACATTCAAGTATAACTATAAGAAAAATAATGAAAAAAAAATCAGCCTGGGAAAGTCACACTACTAATTGATATGATTGTCAACCTTATTTTTCTCACAGCTCAGCAATTCAAACAATGAGTACCAGGTGATCATGCCAGTCTACAGGCTGAAAGGTCACAGCGCTATTTTGTCAGCAGTGAATTCACTCCAGCGTTGTCACTGTCCACCCTCCTACTTCCATAAGCCAAGTTTGAGGGTTATCAACCTTGTCACCCCTGATAACCCACACCTCACTGCCAATCGGCACTGGCCATATAACCCAATGGGTGCCCTGCATCTGGAAGAAGTGAAACAGGGCACCCTCTTGGATTCCAGCTCTGGGGGGAGTGAAGACCTTCTGTGTGATAATGTTAAAGCAGAGGACTTTTTCATCCATTAAGAAGGTAAGTATAAAAAAAAGCTTATTTTGATAAAGTATAAAAAAGCTAGATGGGATCTACAGGGTAATGGGGAGAAAGTGACACAGGGCACCCTCTTGGATTCCAGATCTGGTGGAGTGAAAACCTTGATGGCTCCTTGTGATGATATCACAGAAGCAAAAAAGGGGGTTTCTTCATCCATTCATAAGGTAAGTATAAAAAAAAAGCCTATTTTTATAAAGTATAAAAAAAGCTAGATGGGATCTACAGGGTGATGAGGAAAAAAGGACGCGGGCCACCCTCTTGGATTACAGCTCTGTTAGAGTGAAGACCTTGATGGCACCTTGTGATAATGTCACAGGAGCAAAAAAGGGGGTTTCTTCATCCATTCAAAAGGTAAGTATAAAAAAGGCCTATTTTGATAAGATAGAAAAAAGCTAGATGGGATCTACAGGGTGATGAGGAAAAAGAGACACAGGGCACCCTCTTAGATTCCAGCTCTGGTTTGGAGTGAAGACCTTGATGGCACCTTGTGATAAAAGGTTTTTTTCCCATCCATTCATAAGGTAAGTATAAAAAAGCTAGATGAGATCTACAGGATGAAAACCTGGTAGTGAAAAAAACCCATTTGGCCAGAGAGGGTCTTCAATAATTCTGCCACAATAAAGATAAAACCCTGAATGAATGAATCCGATAAACACCTACATTGTGATATTCTAGATTGTTCAGTGCTACATTTTGCTATGATGTTTATGTAAACAAGATACCCGTTTTCAATATAAATAAACACATTCAGATGTCCTACATGAGTCAGTCAAGGCTTGGTGTTTATTGATGCCTGCCACCAGCACTGGGGATTTCTAAACACTTGAGTGATGCCTGCCCTTTGCTTACCTGTCCTTTCACAAGGCTGGCTGCAAATTGCCTCATGACCGCCTCCACTGTGTAGGCACTGGACCATCCTCTGGGGGTGAGCAGCTCCATGCAGATTGCACCACCATCCAGCACATAGCCATTCTCCAACCTGGGGGTCAGCACCCTCATGAAAGGAGGGGAGAAGGGGAAGTTGTCCGGGAAGGTGAGGTTGAGCAAGATGTACTCGGTGTTGGTCTCCTTCATGTCCTGCCAGAGGGTGGAGTCCTTGTCCACCTGGTGCAGCTTGACATTCCAGTCAAAGAGATTGTCATCCACCAGCTCCACAGAGATGAAGTGGTCGCTCAGTTTGCGGATGTCTTGAAGCTCCTTCATCAGCCGCCTGCTCCTGACCTGGGTGCAGTGCTGCCGGTTGGGGGGCACCACCAGGGGCTGCAAGGAGGAGCCCCCACTTTGCTTGTTGCCCCCTCCCCCGCTGCCACCCCCTGGCTGCTTGGCTTCTTTTGTAATGGTCGGGGTGCTAGTCTCTTTGGCACTGTTCTTCTCCTTGCCTGCTGCTGTCCCATGCTTGTCCTTGTGACACTGCTCAGTCTTTTTGCCCTTGATGTCAGCCTGGCCGAGCATCCCTTCGGTGGTGGTGGTGGAGTTATTGCTGCAGCAGCCTCCGCTGCCCCCGCCGCTACTGCCGCCTCCTCCTGCTGAACCTCCTTGCTGCTTGTTGCTGCAGTTCTTCCCCTTGCTGCTCTTCACAGATCCCTGCTGGTTGCGGTGGTGATGATGCTTGGGGTCCTCTGTATCCCTGTCATTAAGGCGAATCAGTCCTATTTTCCGCAAGAGAGTGGCCATCTTCCCCTATCTCCTCCGATAATACCGCAGGTTTGGGGGGAGGGAGGGGGGAGCTCGTGACGGGACCGATCTTTAGGGTCACAGAATAGTCCACCGGACGTATGCGATCGCAAGCGATACCAGGCGTCCTCCTTCAGGTCCCTCAAAGCCGATCCATAATCCTCTAGCGATGAAGGCAATGCAGAAATGCCATGTCAGTCTATGCAGCGTTCGTCCGGGGAAAACAACAAGCCTCGTAAAGGGCGATTCATGGACGCTAGAGGTTGTGGGGGATGAGTCTGTTAGGACTTGGGGGGTTGCATCGCTCTGTCGATGTCAATTCCCATTCACAGTTTTAGAGTTGCAGTCAGTGGGAGCTTTCATTGGCAGCATCCCGATCCTGGAGGTGTAATGCTGTGCGCCCAGACGCCCCCGACAGCCGGATGCAGTCACTTTCTCTTTCCCTTGTCTGCAGTGCTCCGATCTATTTTTCCTTGTCTTTGCTGTCCACCTCCTTCTGGTGCAGTGCAATAGTACGGATCGCCTGGCAGCCTGATCCCTTCTGTCTCTTATCTGCAGACCTCACAAAAGAGGGGGGGTTGCTGTAGAGGTGGGAGGAGGAGGAGGAAAAGGGGGGTGGGGGGAAGGAGTTGAGCAGCTCACATGTAAGCAGCAGCCAAGGCAGGCACACGACTGGCTACTTTAGAATTAAAATCCCTATGATTAATGCACTGGTAACTCCCATTATTCTGGGACGTCAAACAAGACCCTCCCCTTCTCTCAACCCCCCTTTTCCTTGTCTTCTGTTACCTGTACTGCATCCCAAATCGCTGGGTCTGCAGCTATTCTGCATCATCTCAAGGGGGGCTGTGTGGAGAAGAGGAAAATACCTTCCTACCCTTATCAATCTCCTCTATTCTTTGATTCTGGAAGGGTTACAACTTCCACATTATACCAGTGCCCTGCATGATTTTGTTATCCCAAAAAACAACAACAGTTCCTTCCCCTGCTGACCCAGTTTCTTGATCAGTGGACTGTCTGAGCTAGATCTCAGCACAGGGCAGATGAACAATTCTGCCATCTGGAAGAAGACATAGCTAGCTTGTGTTCTGCAGGTTTCGTTCCTCTTTGTAATGACACATGTCCAAACTTTAATCGGAATGGAGGGGAATTATTGATCAACACTGGAGCAGATAGAATTGGGAGCAGTTTCAGCTTCTCTTTTTTATTGTCAAAGCTTAACTGAAGAGAGAATCCAATCGGTTACTATGGTCAACTGCTCCAGATTCTGTCTGCTCCAGTTTTTATACATTCCCCTATTGTGTCTGGTGCACTAGTATAGATAGAAATAGAGACACTGGCACTCCAGATGCAGATCAAATGCGTCTATTTATTGATGTAAATGCAGCTTATCACACTGTCTCTATTTCTATGTACATGACGGTTGCCATCTGTTGACCACTGCTGCACCCATCCAATTCATATGGAATAAGCGGTCAGGAGTGAGATGGGTTCATGCACTTTCTTTTGGTGCACTAGCATTGCTCACGCTTTTTTTCAGTCACAGTACCATTTAAAAGTATGCAAAATCTTGAGGCACACAGTCTAAAATGTAAAAAAAATGAAGTATGCTTATCCTAGACAGAGGTTTAGTATAGATTTTAAGGGGGGACCACACCAGATCCCCCGCCTTTTACATCAGAGCCCAAAACTTTCACATCAGAGTCCCTCTTTACAAAAGGAGCCCCCCTTTTACATTAGGAGCCCCTTCCTTTCACATCAAAGTCCCCACTCTAACACTGGGAGCCCCCATCCATATCAGAGTCCAGAAACTGCCTGCACTATGGAATAGACATGTGCGATTCGTTTCATTACTTATCAAAATGCGTACGAATTTCCTAAAAAACTTAAATTCGGAAGCATCCGAAATCCGAATTGCAATGCTTCTAAATGTATCCGAAATACGAAATTCCGTTGACGAATTTCGTTGAAACGGGAACGAATATTACCTGTCTCTGACTGAGGTTGAACAACATGACAAGATTTTTTTTAAAATCTGAAATACGAAATTCCGTTAACGAATTTCGGATCCGAATTTCGTTACAACGGAAACGTGACTGTTTGGTTGACCAATCAGAGGTTTTCTTTTGCTGCTGAGGGAGGGTTTGGAAAATTATCTTTTTTAATATGGGAGTGGGACACTGGGAGTCGATGGGAGATTCAGAATCGGACTAAATAAGAATGTTCGTTAATATCGTTTTATTATCGTAATAATTCCGATTATCCATTATGATGAAGTTAAATTACCTTTTTTTAATATGGGAAATGGGAGTCAACAGTAGGAATGGTCAGCAGGTTAGATTTGAACATGAGTACGAATCGAACATTGTTCGTTCGAGCGTTGTGGGAACCCCTCATAATGAGCACAGCAGGTGTACAGATCTGCACAGCAGGTGTACAGACCCAGGAAGTCAGCACAGGGATGGTGGGAACCCCTCATAATGAGCACAGCAGGTGTACAGACCCAGGAAGTCAGCACAGGGATGGTGGGAACCCCTCATAATGAGCACAGCAGGTGTACAGACCCAGGAAGTCAGCACAGGGATGGTGGGATCCCCTCATAATGAGCACAGCAGGAGTTCAAACCCGGGAACTCACTCAGCAAAGGGATGGTGGGAACCCCTCATAATGAGCACAGCAGGTGTACAGACCCAGGAAGTCAGCACAGGAATGGTGGGAACACCTCAAAAAGGGCACAGCGGGTGTACAGACCCAGGAAGTCAGCACAGGGATGCTGGGAACCCCTCATAATGAGCACAGCAGGTGTACAGACCCAGGAAGTCAGCACAGGGATGGTGGGAACCCCTCATAATGAGCACAGCAGGTGTACAGACCCAGGAAGTCAGCACAGGGATCGTAGGATCCCCTCATAATGAGCACAGCAGGAGTTCAGACACGGGAACTCACTCAGCATAGGGATGGTGGGAACCCCTCATAATGAGCACAGCATGCGTACAGACCCAGGAAGTCAGCACAGGGATGGTGGGAACACCTCATAATGAGCACATTTTTCTGACATTTTTCTGACGTTTTGTATGATATTTGGGATTATTCTCAAAATTCAGAAGTTTTTTTAGAAGACAGGAGAAGTGCAAAATGAAGGACAAAATCGATGAAGTGGATAGTGAGCTGAATTGGAGAAGATTTACACATCAACTCTTTGGCACTATACATTGCTCACTTCTCCTACATTGGTCAAACTCTTCACCCTTTTGTAAATATCACTTATTCTGCTTGCTTTATCTTCAACTGCAGCAATAAAAGTAATTTTAGTACTATTTCTGGGCCTAAGGTCATTTCGCAATGTTTGTTCCAACTCGATTGCACTAAGCCAAGACATCATCGTGCACGTGCGGCAATCTTCGCGATACCTGGCTGTGGTCATCCTGGTGATAAATGCCGGCAGAGAGGGGGGGGGGACAGTCACCTTGCAAAATAAAGTATGCCACCGGGTCCCCTCCTCTCTCCTGATACTGTCGGGCAGTTGGTCCATGACCGAGCGCCCGACTTAGCAGAGGTGGGGTGACAACAAAATTACTGTCAGTCATTTTGTTGTCGCCCCTCCAATGGTGTCAACCAGGTGCGGTCAGCACCCACTGCACCCCCTTGTGACGCCAATGAATGTTGTTGCAGCAGATTATATACATTGTACAGATCTGCCACTTTACAGGCAGTTTAGGTGCACCCACCCAGGCACGATATTTACTTCGTAATTTTTAGGGTTTCACTTTGTGTGATGCAGAAATGACTGCTCCTTTAGAATCGGTATTTTTAAAAAAAGTTTTTTTTATCATTGATCCCCAGGGAAGTATGAGGCTCAACATACACTTTTTATGGCAATTAACTTGCATGTAAGCCTTCAAAAAGGGGTCACTTGATTTTCTAAGTTCTACCCCCATAGACTTTCATTGATTTCGAATTAAACAAAGGAACACGAAGGGCGCAACAGCAAACACTACAATGGAGCACTGACTGGTTGGACTGGGATATCTATGGCAGAGACTCAATGTACTGATAAAGAATTAATGGCAGAAAATGTTCTGCCATTAATTCTTTATCAGTACATTGAGTCTCTGCCATAGATATCTCAGTCCAACCAGCCAGTGCTCCATTGTAGTGTTTGCTGTTGCGCACTTCGTGTTCCTTTGTTTATCTGCATTTACAGGTTCTCCTCCTGTTGTCAGTTAGCCTCCCCATCCGAGAGCGCTGTCTATGTTTTTCTGTTTCTGTTATTGATTTCGAATTCAAACTTTTTCCATGTTCTAAATTTAAAATTCCAAACAAACTCGTGTCTGTTCAGCCCATCACTACTTACAATGAGGGAAATTTATCAAAACTGGAACAGACAGAATCTGGAGCATTTGCTCATGAAAACCAAGCAGATTATAGCTTTAATTTTCAAAGTTAAACTGAACAAAGAGAAGCTGATTGGTTGCCCTGTGCAAAGTATCCAAAATCTGTCTTTCCCATCACAAATGAAAGTTTTATATTTTAAAAACAAACAGTTTTTTAAAATATAAAACCACCTAAGATTTCATATAGGAAATGAAACAAACCACAGGAATCATGTGAATACCTAAGAACAACAGACATGCATGCGTGAATCCTGAGCACAAGTACTACAAATAGCAAACAGCCAATGTCATGATAAAAACAATGCATAAATAAACACATCGGTACACATGATTTCAAATTTCTTGTAAAAAAAATAAATTACTTTTTATGAGTTGTCAAATTTTTTGGAGCTGGTCCTGCTCTCGATTTTTCAAATCGGACCATCGCTTGCGTATCTGGTTTTTACTCCTGTGTTTTCCAAAATGTTTTGCAATGCTGCAGATCACTTCATTTATGACCTCTTCTTTGCGTGCATTTTTATTCCCATATTGCTGATGGCTACAGTCATAATCCTTTTTTTTTAAAGATCTGCACCATTTCCACCATCTCATCCAACGACATGGCGCTTGATCTTTTTCTAGTCGCAGTCG